AACATGATCAGTGCCTTAGAGGGCACCAGAGACTCATGATACGAATAGACGGATTCGTATGACTGCAAGGTACTTCAAGAGGTCTCACTTGGAAGTGGTCCATGAGCTAAAAAAAAACATTTGCATTGAGCAATAGAAGTATGCTATTAATTTGCAGCAAAAAATAATCACATTTTCGTACGAARTCGATCTCCATTTACCCTGCACAACTACTTGCACCGTGTAAATCGATTACAGTGACCAAGTCGATATTTAAAAAGRAAAGAAAGAGGTTGGCAAAAAAGATTTGTAGCTCGCAAACTGAGGCTCGGGCTCGCGGGCTCGCACATTATTTGAACTCTCTGAGATAATGCGAATGCAATCTGAATGCTAAATTTTCGCGGCGCTGGTAAAAATAATATATATTTCAAGGCAAAATTATATTCACTTAACGTAACCTGACATTGTGTGTTCCACGAAGTGGTTCTTTGTTTCTTTGCAATTACTTTCCTTTAAAGACTGAATTTTTCACAAAGGTGACATCATCCGTGAAGCTAAACCGTAGGGGAATATAAGAATACAAATAATTAGTAAGCTTATAATTAAGCTTAAAAAAGTCTTAGCTTTCTGTTACCTTTTGCAGCAATTTTAGATCTTAAGAGTCACTTCGCAAATCAGAAATCTAGCTTTTCAAGGCTCAAAAAAAAAATCTACTCATATTTTGTATATAGATAAGGTATGATTAGGTAACAATAGCTCACCGTAAGTTTTTTTGAAAATATTTCATTTTTCGCAAAAAAATCACTAAACAATGCGCCTTTGCGTGACAAATGCTTGATTGCTAAAAATAACACTCACTTAATAATCAGAATTAGATCAAATTCGTCTGTGAAAACCACTCTCAGGTATGTAGTAATGAAAGTACTTGCGTAAACACNAATCCATGTCCTTCATCTCGCGTTATCACACTCGCCAGCATTAAGATAGCACATGGAAGTTCTGAATGTCATGTGTTAGGTTTAACATTCGTACCCAGTGCATTCTAGTTTGGCCGAGGACAATTTGTGACCGAAAGAAGACAACGACCATGACGAAAAGGAATACCGAAACTTAAACTCGGGATTCCTTTGGAACCCCGAGAAAGGGCTATGAAGTGTATATAAAAAA